AGGAAGAGGAGGAGGAGGAGGAGGAGGAGGAGGAGGAGGAGGAGAAGTAGGAGGTAGGGGGAGAGCCGTAGGCGGTACATTCAGAATAATTGCGAGCTCCTACAGTGTTCCGTGGTTTCCGTCGAGCATTAGTGGGTCTTGGTTCACGCGTGCCGGCGTGTGATGCTTTTCGATCTGAGGGTCACTGGTCGTAACCGAAAAAATTAAATTGATTCGAGGATGGATGTGGTGTGGATGATGTGGATGGTTGTCGTGTGGTTCCACCGACGTTCTTGTCGCAGGCATTCCATATTATAATGCCTGTGTATCATCTGTGTACACTATGTAGGCATAAGGGTAATAAAAAAGCTATTTTCTGTCTCGGCAAGGCTTTTGCTTAGGCATGGCTCATGGCGAGGGGGGGTGTACTCAGAGTCGTGCATGCCGCAGTCGTTAGACCATTGACCTCGCATCGCTGCAAAGCCGGGACGAAGCACGCCGGGTTCTCACCGGACTAGACTCTCACATCACTAAGCGCGAAGCGCCGTGAGATATTCGGCGAGTCGCATGAAGGGTGCGCTGCATCCTGCTAAGGGTGTTCGGCATCTTGTGCTTACTTCCTTGCATACGGATGACAGCTGCGTATGACTTACTTTATTTCTGGTGCTTCACTTCCAGAGACAGTTGTAAGCACTGTGTAACTGCCTCGAGGGTGCTTGACCATTTTAACACAANTGCCAAGCGACGAAAACCCAACCCCGATGGCAAACACCGGGGGGGGGAGCCCAAAGCGAGGGGGGGGTCCTTCTAGCGAGCAGGGCTAGACTCACCCTCAAGGGGACCGATGCCTTCTTGCTGCGGCGCACCCGCCGCGAGGCATGCGTAGTGGTGGAGTTGGGTCGGCACTAGTGGTGCATCAGGTACAAAAGTGCAGATGCGCGAGCCTGAATGGCCGTCGTTGAAGGCAGCAATGCCCATCTTATTTCTGTACGCGGAGGCAGACGCCATCAGAAAGGCGGACGGGCACGTTGTACACAGGCTCCAGGTTTGCTAGCGGGACCTATAAAGACCAACAACAACAACAACAACCAGCAGTAGAGAAAAAATGAAAAAAAATACTTACCTGTCTTGAGGTCCCTTCCGGGTGGAGGGGTGCGGCGTGACTTTGTTCTCACACCTCGGAGCGACAGTGCTGAAACTTGAGTAGACTACTGTTGTAGCCTGTGCTAGCATCAACATAGGACAGGCGAACCTTGGTACGATGTGGTATCGGATAGGGCAAGTTGTGGTCGAGCGGCGAGCGGGAAGTTGGAGCTGCTGTCGACTATCGTGTCGCCCTGTGTAGGCGGGTGGCAACTCACATATTTCGCCGCACCTGATCACGAGACTTCTGGCAGTCATCAAGGCTAACCGACCTCAGGGGCAATGCAGACGAGCAGACTGTTCAACCACGCATCGCTTGCGGGGACGCTGACTTTTGCCAGGTACACTCGCTCGATATTGTTATGATGTTATGATGCTTGCGGCGCCCGTGATTCTCTGCTCTCACCACGCCTCGAAAAATACGCCAAATGCCTTGAAGAATGTCGCCAGCGCATAGAGAAGTGGTAGTGGGAAAGAAAATGTATTGAACTGACACGAACTACCCCACGGCATGTTGTCTCGCTGTTCCAGGAAATGCGAAGGAGAGCCAGAGTGCGGGGATAACGGTGCAGTAGGACACAGTCACGTGGGCCCCGTCACAGCAGGTTGTCCTCGTCCAAAACCACACTCACTACGTGTTGTTGTTTAACCCCTGCTGCCGGTGTGGATTGCCCTATTGAGGTAGAGCGGTCACACGACGGGTCAGGGCAATGATGAACGCGAAACATGTGCTTGCTCCTCACCTCGAGTCACGCTGTGCGAAGCTCTTGTGCGCTAACACGGCGGTGTTGGCTGGGTGTGGCGAAGTGGAATACCGGCGCAGGGAGAGAGAGCGCGCAAAGAAAGTTCCAGGAAATATTCTGGAGGTCTGTCATCCATGTTCCCCCTTCTTCCCCTCGCTGCCTCGGGGAGGTTTTGCGGAGGCATGACCCGTAGCGAGGGGGGGGGGGCTTTATGGTGAGCAGGACTAGACTCACCCTCAAGGGACCGATAGCTTCTTGCTGCGGCGCCCCCGCCGCGAGGCGTGCGTAGTGGTGGAGTTGGATCGGCACTGGTGCGTCAGGTAGAAAGGTGCAGATGCGCGGGCCTCCAGGCCGTCGGTGTAGGCAGCACGTGGTAGGCAGCAATGCCCATCTCATCTTTGTGCGCGGAGGCAGACGTCATCAGAAAGGTGGACGGGCACTATGTACACGGCCCTAGGTTTGCTAGAGGGAGCTGTACTGTCTCAGTAACCCTAACCCTAACCCTAACCCTAACCCTAAGTGCAACGAGGGAGAAAGCGAGGAACCGACTGGGACGGACAGCAACGAGAGCGTGAACGAAGCGGAGCGGGTCGAGTTTGGTCGTGCTAGGACTAGCCACAGCGGCACCGGAGCAGCGGCACCGGAGCAGCGGCACCGGAGCATGCGGACGGCATCGAACCGTGGCGCACGAACAAACATATCTCTTGTGTTATCAAGTATTTTTCCGTTTTTTCCTGAATCTACAGGTAGGTTCAGGTGTTGGGTGTGTTGTTTGTTTTGTTTTTCTCCCATCATTGGACTGTCGTCTGCTCCTCTGGCCCCTATCCTCCACTTCTACTAGCTAGACGACCCAACCGGGGTCACATAGATAGGAGGGGGGGGCTGGACCCCCTCCTGCGGTTCCTGCCTGAGGTATTTTTATCGCGAGAAGGGTACATACATCAATCCCTTCCCTCGCGACTTACGAAGTCGATAATGGTTTAACAACGAGCTTTGCAGCACGTCGCTTTCATCCTAGATCGGATTTATGGATTTATTTAGTGAGGAAAACATTCACTCTCTGCCGGGACTCGAACCAACGACCTGGCCCTTGGCAGGCTGCGAGGTCACCCACTAGACCACCGGGGCGACCGGCGTTTTGTTTGTTTTTTGTTTGTTTTTATCCCATCATTGAACTCTGCCGTCTGCCCCTCTGGCCCCTATCCTCCACTTCTACTGGCTAGACGACCCGACCGGGGTCACATGGGAGGGGGGGTTGGACCCCCTCCTGCGGTTCATGCCTGAGGTATTTTTATCGCGAGAAGGGTACAGCAATCCCTTCCCTCGCGACTTACGAAGTCGATTATGGATTACTAACAAACGAGCTTCGCAGCGCGTCGCTTTCACCCTAGACCAGGATTTATTTAGTGATAAAAAAACTCTCTCCACCGGGACTCGAACCCATGACCTGGCCCTTAGTTAGCAGGCTGCGAGGCTACCCACTAGACCACCGGGGCGACCGGATGGTGTGTGACAGCGTCACTGTTTCTTTTGTAGAGACGCGGCAGAGATGGCGCGGATAACCGGGTGCCTTCATTGTGTACTTGCATCGTGGAAGACCCCTTCAATGTGGAGCGATTCCTAGTCAGTGTCGATGTGCACACTGCTGTGCCTAACACAGATGATCTGGATAGATTCGGGTGATGTCAATTAATTGCAATGATGGCTTTGGTTGGGTGTTCTTCTTTACTGTATGTCCAGACGGACTCATTCTGACAGCACTTCAGACAGCAGCTGCATGCCCCGAGGTTGTGTACCATGCACCATGGTGTTATTATTGTACAGACAGCACTTCAGACAGCAGTACGCTGTAGAATAGTCGACAAACATTTATTATGGTGAAATGCGGGACAAGGGGGGTGATGCTGCTGCTGTAGTCTAGTCGAATTGTAGTGTGTGGGCGTGTAGTTCAGTTGTGAGCACGCAAACGTGCTGCAGGGATTGTAGGTGTAATGTACCTCCTCGGGCTTGTGTACCCTTTTCTTGCTAATAGACTAGTGTGTGTGTGTTCTTTAGATCTTCTGATGGCTCTAGCATTTTTGTGACCACGGACCGAGTCTTTGCTAGATTTTGGGAGTAGCAACTGACACGAGTTTTATGTGAAGAAAAACAACAAAACATCAACATTATCCTGAAACGACCCGCACAGCAGCAGCACCACCACCACCAGCACCAGCAACAACAGCAACAGCAGCACAGCAGCAACGGCAGCAAAAGCAACAGTACCAACAGCAGCAGCAGCAGCAACAGCTGCAGCAGCAGAGGGAATGGCTCGCGTGGCAGGGCAACATTTAGACTCTGGAAGCTGGGACGGTAGCTGGTCAGGCTTAGACCCGATTCATGGGAACGAAATATTGTCGATGAATCTTGATCTTGGCCATCTGCCAGTTTCACGATTTATGGGAGCGAAATCTTCCGATGTATCTTGGCCAAGATTTCTGGAGGCCGGAAATCTGGCCTTTCACACATACCGTAAGAATCGGGGTCTTCGCACGGATCGGCGTCTCCGCACGGGTCGGGGTCATGGCACAGAGGTGCGAAACAAAAACCGGGTTCCACATGATTTAATTCGATCATCGCACAGGGATCGGGGTCTACGCACACTTTGCGGAGACCCCGATCCCAGCAATGAGGTTGGGCGCTTCCAAGAGCGGTGTCCAGTCTTGT